GAGTTAAGCTCTTTGTAGTCAATAGACTAAGAACTATTCTGCACACCCTAGAGATGTTTTACTATCTTCTCCCAATACTGCTCTGTAAAGTATGAGTTATTTTGTCCCATCAGTTGTACTAGTTTTCATGTGGCTATTGTCTGAGCAAATCTTTCAGAGGTGGTGCTCCATAACAGGAGGGGCCTGAATCTGTTGTTTTTAAAGAAAGGGAGTCTTTGTGCTACACTCAGGGAAAAATGTTACTTTTCTGCTGACCATACTGGATTGGTTAGAAGATCTATGACCAAACTTAGAAAAAGATTAAAGCAGAGACAAAAGCTGTTTAAATCACAACACGGATAATTTAAAGGATGGTTTAATAAATCGCCATGGTTAAAACCCTTAATTTCCACCAAAGCTGGGCCCCTACTTATTTTACTTCTTATCTTTACAATCGGCCCTTGCATTTTAAATCGCCTGGTGCAATTTATAAAAGACAGGCTTTCAGTTATCCAAACCATGGTACTCTCCCAGCAATATCAGATGTTAAAGCAGAATGACGTAGAGGTTTTTAAACACATGGATTTATGATTAAATCCATGAAAAAGGAAAAGGGGGAATGAAAGACCCTCTGGACACCCACCCCCAGAACCAGCAGCTGGCCTGCTACCATGAGAACATCCTGTTTGCTTGAGACCCTCAGGACCCTCTCAGGACCTGCAGCTAGCCAGCTCTCATGAGAACATCCCGTTTGCTTAGGGAAACAGGATGCCTATAGTCAGCACATGTGCCAAACTTAGAATATCAGCAGTTCACAAAAGAAACAATTCCCCCTATGAAAGATCCCAGCTTGACAAGGCTTTTGACAAACAAATGTAAGTGCAGAGTGAGGTCAGGGTCCCTGGCTGCAAAGCAGGATATCTATAAAATAGGACAATCTGTAAAGCAGGATATCTATGAGATATGACGTCTATACGACAGGATATCAGTGGCCATACATCTGTGCTGGGAAAGGAAAAACCAAAAGAGGAACAGGATATCTGTTGCCATACATCTGTGCTGGGAAAGGAAAAACCACCTATGCCCCTTGTCTCATTCCAACCGACCACTAACCACGCATCTGCTTCTGTAATCTGCGTCTGCAGCCCTCTTTCCAATAAAAAGACCTCCCCCCAGTCTGCAGGCCAGCAAGTCCTCCTAAAGACTTTGCCGCCTGCAGGTACCTGTGTTTACTCAATAAACCTCTTGCTAATTGCATCCTGTGGTCTGGACTCGAAGTGTCCTGGTTCTGGGGACTTCATTGAAGGAAAGGTCCTCTCTAAGGGTCTTTCATTATGGAACGAAGATTTGCTAAAGAGAAGCCAGGTCTCTCTAGTCTCTTCCAGAATTTCTGCACTAGTAAAATTGAACATTTAGCTTTATGATCCATCAGGATTTGATTGTTGTGATTGTTTGGAGTTTGTAAATGATACCCCCTGTATAGAGTAGCTTTCTATTGTTAAACAATTACAAAAGATTAGAATTGTGGGTGACAGAATTGATCATATATCAGGATCTACCAAATCTTAAAGAGGCATTAAGTCACATAAAGTAGAATTTAGCTAAGGGAGTACTGCCTCCAAAATACACTAAAGATAAGTAGTATGAAAACCATGCCTGTTAGAGATTATTAAGATAAAACATAAATATCCCCTATAGAGCTTTAATCTAGCAACCTATGGAGGCAGAGGCAGAGACCCACATCGAAGCTGTGGACTTAGCACCCAAAGTCCATTTGAAGAGTGAAAAGATGAGAATATGAACAACAAGGTCAAGACCATGATGGGTCCACCCACTAAAACATCTTGCATGAGCTGATGGGAGCTCACCAACTCCAGAGGAACAGGGAAGGAGGAAACATAGGACGAAACTAGTCCCTCTGAATGTGGTTGACAGTTGCTAGGGCAGACTGAGGAACCACTGGCAGTGGCCCCAGGACTTATCTCTATGTATTGGATTTGGGGGTCCTATTGTCTTGGGGTGTATACCTTGCACAGCCAATATTCACTAGGGAAGGCCTTGGAACTTTCCACTAGGCAATATGCCTTAGCCTCTCTGAGGATTAGATGGGGGTTGGGTGGGCGGGTGCATAGAGGGAATGGGAGGAGTGGAGCGAATAGTAACTTGGATCAGTTATTTTTAAATCTAATAAATTTGAAAATTAAAAACTGTAAAAGATTGTTCACCAGTATTCATCAGCCATTAATCGACATTCCCATAAGAAAAGAAAAAAATTGCTTAAGTGGACCAAAGCCATCCCTTCTCCATACCAAAGATCAGGCTTCCGGTACGCTGTCAACGGGCCATTATATGGTCACAATCATCATTAAGTTCCAATGTGCCATAAAATATACTAATTCTTGAACCACTTCATGTTAAACCTATTTGAAAAGCAGTTATGTGTTAAGGTCTTCAGTGTTCACTAAGATAGATTTGAACCCTGTGGTAGGCCCACAGGGCATTGTCCTTGCTATCCCCCTGACTAACCATCCTAAATTTTGGGATTACACCATTGCCACACCACAGAGTTCTCAAATTACCAGTTGAAGTCACATCATGGGCTGTCCATTGCAGAAACAAAAAAAAAAAAAAAAGAGGATTTGCATGTGGAGTGTGACTCTCCCTTCAGACCAGAAGAGGAAGGGCAGTGTCCTGTGGACAGGGCACTGAAGAACAGACTAGGCAATACCTAGATCACAGAGCTCTAGATCATAGAGAAGGTCATGATGGGGCATGGCTAGTGACTGTCTGTGTAATTTCCCAGCATGTATTAAATCCTTCCATGTGAATCATGACAGATATTATTGATGGGCTTATAATATTGGGATAGTACCTTTAACCACTGAGTATTAGATTCCAAGTAGCTGACTCTCCCATGCAGATGTGTGCAATCCTGGGTGACACAGTTAAGTCTGCTGAGAGGTTTGAGACACAGGCCATTGGCTGTCACTCTTTGTCAGCTTATAGCAACTCAGCAACTAAAATTTTACATGGGACAAAGTCATACAGTCACACAGACAATGTTATGGGCTTTTATTCAATAAGGAAATTTCCTCCTCTTTTTCAAGTAGAGTTTACCTAAGTACTCTTACAATACATTTAACTTTTTAACAACTCCATTGTGGCAGAATTATTTAAATTTCATTTTAACTCTATTACTGCTCTAAACTCTATTGTTTCTATTTTACAACCTTTCCCAGTCACTATGAATTTTATTATAAAATATCATATATACTCATACCTAATTGGCTTTTAAATACAAAGAAGAAAAAACATTTTTGAATAAATACCTAAAAGAGGTATTACTGCTCAATCGTGCCACAAAGACATGTGCTCAACTATATCATAGCAACATTGTTTGATTGTTTGTTATAGACAGAACCTGGAACGATGTCCCTCAGCTGAAGAATGGATGAGGAAAATGTGGTATATTTACACAATGGAGTACTACACAGCAGAAAAAATAATGACATCTTGAATATGGCAAAAAAAATGGATAGAGCTAGAAAACATGATTATGAGTGAGGTAGCCCAGACCCAGAGAGACAATTATGACATGAACTCACTCATAAGTGTTTTTTAAACATAAAATAAAGAAAACCAGACCACAAATCACAACCTCAGAGAACCTAGACAACAATGAGGACCCTAAGAGACATGTACATAGATGTAATCTACATGGGTAGTAGAAAAAGAAAAGATCTCCTGAATAAATTGGGATCTTGGGGAACTTGGGAGACTGTTGAAGGGGAGGGAAGAGGTAGGAAGTGGAACAGAGAAAACTGTAGAGCTCAATAAAAATCAATTAGAAAAGCAACCTACAATCCCAGAAAACCTAGACAACAAGAAGGAGCCTAAGAGAGACACACATGGGTCTTATCAACAACATAACAATTAGAAAAGAAAAGATCTCCTGCAAAAGTTGGTAGTTTGGGGACCATGGGAGTTTGAGAAGGGGAGAAAATTATATAGCTGGATTAAAAAAATAAAATAAAACAAAGCGCTCGCACACACTAGAATGTTATCTTATTTTTATTAAGAACAAATTTATGTATTTATACATTTATATCATTTTAGTGTACTGGTTCTTAACATATAGGTCATAAACTTAGAGGCTCAAAAAACTTGACAAGGCTTCACCTATGTCCATCAGAAAACAAATTGTTTATTATACACCCTATAACTATAGCATACTTACACTTCTGTTTTGTAGAGATAATCAGCACTTGGTTGTTACAGAAGGCAGTTGTATGATGAAACAGAGAAAGGACATTTCAAGGTGTTTAGCACCATTGAAGAGAAGGCTCAACCTCAGAATAGGATGCCTAGGAAGGCATCCTCAATACCTTGAATTTATGTTACGAATAGAGAAAGAGATCCTTTGTCCAAGGAAACAAACTTCATTCTGAATCTGCAGCAACTCTGTTCCAAGCATGGCATGGGCCGTTACAATGTAGACTCAACATTTGGGTGAACTTTTGAGGTTCTATTGGTCCAGTATACAAAAAAGATGCAACGTTACAGGTCACGGATTCTTAGTATGTGATTTCACTTCAGTTCTGTTACAGGCATCTGTGTTTGACAAAAATACATATTTAGACCTTGTCTGCCTTCAAAATATCAATCTAACACATAGAAAGAAAGATAGACCTGCTTCTGCCTTCTAAGCGCTGGTATTAAAGGCATGAGTCAATACCTGTTTTAGCCTATTATATTTTGTTTTTGTAATAGGTCAAACAGTTTCTCTGATGTTTACTGCGGACAGCATTTCTTTTGCAAGATGAATCTTATTTAAAGGTTGAAGAAATGACAGGGGTGAACTTCCTATTCAGTTTCATTCTGTAGTGATGTGGCGATGGCAAAATAAAGTTCCTCTCATGAAATAAATACGAGAAGCACCAGAATTAGAAGATCATACTGTATGCATTTACAATGTTGATGGTATCACACCTTTTGTTTTCCACATGTATGGGATATATTAGAATGCAGTGACCTATGATGATGTGCATGTGAACTTCACCCCGGAAGAGTGGGCTTTGCTGGACCCTTCCCAGAAGAATCTCTACAAGGATGTGATGCTGGAGACCTTCATGAACCTCACCGCTATTGGTAAGATGGTGAAATTTACTCACGTTTTAACATAAGGGGACAAGTGTTTCCTGGTTATTGAGGGTCTTTTGTAATGTGGATTGAGAAAGAGAAAGAGTATGGTCAATAAATCATTCATGGTGCTAAGGTTCATTGAAGATAATAACTTAAAGTTTGCACAATTTCCAATCACATATCACATATTTTCTGGTATTATTTTTAGGATGCACTTGGGAGGATCAAAATATTGAAGAGCATTCTCAAAGTTCTAGAGGACTTGGAAGGTAACTTGAATAAGCAAAATTATTTAAGTGTGTGTCTGAGAAAAGCTAAATGTGCCCTGGATTATTAAAAGAAATGCAGCGATATACATAAACAAGCTTAAAGTGTATTGATGGTTATTAAATTCTCAAAAAGCCATACACCTCAATGTCCGTTAGGAAAGTAGTGTTTGCTAGGTGAGGACTAGGTGTTGTAGCCACCTCTGTGTGTCATGAGTCACTTCGCAAATGTAGTATGACTCGCACTCTTGTTTTTGATTCTCTGACTTTTGCCAGTTCTCTTTACATTTGTGAAAAATCTCATACAAATATAAGATGTTCCAAAAGTAAACTATGTAATAAAGGCTCTTACCATCAAAGGCATCTGCAAAGATGCACAACAACTTTAGTAAAGGGAAAACATGAGATTACATGACATGATAAAAACCTAAGTTCTGATTTCTCTTCAAACTTAGACCATGTCTTAGAAGCTAAGAGCACTGATGTCCTGAGTTCATATCACAGCAATTACATGGCCCACAACCATTGCTATTGAGATCTGATGCCCTCATCTGGCATGGAGGTGTACAGGCAAGAGGAACGTTCTGTACATAAAAAGATAGACTAAATGCTAAAATAAATTCATACAGATATAAGGATTTAAAGTGTAATGAATGTTTTAATGCTCTTATATGTCCAAAGACACCTTCTGAATATTTTAATGAGTTAAACTCTTTCCATAACAGTCACTTTGAAAGATATGAAAGAAGTTTTATAGAAGAGAACGCGTGTGAACGTATTCAACATGATGAAGCCATTGCATGTGCGACTCGACTACAAATACATAAAAGAACGCATACTGGAGAGAAACCCTATGGATGTAATCAGTGTGGTAAAGCTTTTACACATCCCAGTCATCTTCAAGAACATAAAAGAATACATACTGGAGAGAAACCCTATGAATGTAGTCATTGTGGTAAAGCTTTTACACGTCCCAGTGGTCTTCAAGAACATAAAAGAATACATACTGGAGAGAAACCCTATAAATGTAATCAGTGTGGTAAAGCTTTTACACATCACAGTTATCTTAAAAATCATAACAGAACACATTGTGGAGAAAAACCCTTTGAATGTAGTCAGTGTGGTAAAGCCTTTTTGTATTACAGTGGTCTTCAGAGGCATATAAAGAAAACACATAGTTCAGAGAAACCCTATTAATGTATCAGTGTGGTAAAGCCTTTTCATATCACAATAGTCTTCCAGAGCAAAAAAAAAAAAAAAAAAAAAAAAAAAAACACATAGTGCAGAGAAACCCTATTAATATAATCAGTGTCGTAAAGCTTTTACATGTCACAGGAATCTTCAAAGGCATAACAGAACACATACTACAGAGAAACCCTTTGAATGCAGTCACTGTAATGATGCCTTTTTAATTGCAATAATCTTTAGAATCATAAAGGAATACATACTTGAGGAATACGTATGAATATGATCAATGTGGTTAAACATTTGTATGTATCAGAAGTCTTTGAAGTCATGAGAAAATATACTGTAAAACCTCGATAAATCTTGTCAGTGTAGTAATTTTTTTCTATTTCATGGTAGTTTTTCTATAAGAATAAACTTTTAGTGTATAGTCAGTGAGTTAAAGCCTGTTCTTATTACAGTACTATTTGAGGACATGCAAAAGCAATATCAAAGGGAATCTAAATATAAAAGATTTGGCAACATATTCGGCCTACATTCATTATTAAGTTACACATTGCTATTGTATCTGGTAAAAATATTCTGTCAAAATCAGCAATCTGTCTAAGCATTTTTATGTTTTTTTTTGCTTGTACCTGCAAACTCATATGAAGGAAAGCCCTACAGATTTTTTTTCAAAAAATGATGTAACCATTTTAGATTTCCAAATGCTCTTGCATTATATTAATTATCTAATCCAGCTGTAAGCATTTATGGATGTGTATTTTTGCCTTTTCTGTACATGTGATATAACATGCTTTGGTCTAATTAATGTTAAAATACTTTATACTAGAAAATCTAGTAACTAAATACACTAAGTAAATCAAGAAGTTAATAAAGAAACAATAAATATATCATGTGCATATTCAAAGCCAGATATTCTTTGGTTGACATATAATGAAATAAGATACTCAGCAATTAACTCTATATCTCACAACATAGCTTGATGTGCTATAGATTTGCATACCCTATTTAGTGTTCCCTTTTCAAATTCATATCCCCATTACTTTTCCATTTGTCACTTCATGTTTTTAATTATTTTTATTTGTCTGTATATTTTTCTCTGCTCTCTTCCCTTTCTGTACCCTCATTTTCTACCCTCTCGCATGATAGGCATATTCACAATTAACTGGGGATTTTTTTTAATATTTTCTTTATTATATTTTATATTACAGAGTTTTGCCTGCATGTACATCTGCAGGCCAGAAGAGGGCATCAGATCTCATTAGAGATGGTTGTGAGGCACCATATAGTTGCTGGGAGTTGAACTCAGGACCTTTGGAAGAGCAGTAAGTGCTCTTAACCTCTGAGCCATCTCTGCAGCCTGAGATCTTGATATTTTCTATTTTCGAAGTATATTAGATCCATGTATGTCTCTCTTGTGGCCCTCTTTGTTGTCTGTGTTCTCTTGCATTGTAAATTGCAGGCTGGTTTAACTTTGCTCTATATCTAAAAGCCACTCATGAGTGAGTACATATTATATTTGTCTTTCTGGGCCTGGGGTACCTCACTCAACATGATATTTCCTAGATCCATCCATTTACCCACAAACTTCAAGATATCATTGCTTTTTCTGCTGAATAGAACTCAACTGTAAATGTACCTCATTTTCCTTCTCTATTCTTTGGCTGACAGGCATTTAGTTTTTTTTCTAGGATCTGGCTATGAAAAATAATGCTGCTATGAACACACATCCTTGTGGTATAATTGAGCATCCCTTAGGTATATGCCCCAAAATGGAATTGCTAGATCTTGAAGTAGGTTGTTTCCTAATTTTTTGAGAAATCAACATTCCTTGTCAGTACCCTGTCCCTTTAGGAGACAAGCTCCACCCATTTCCAGTCTCTTTCTTCTCACTGGGGCAAGCTTACCTTGGACACCTTTGTCTCTGCCTGCATTTCTTCTGAAGAGGCAAATCTGGGCCTCTCTCCTTTCTTTTATTTCTCTTTTCTCCTAACTCTCTGTCACCCTCTCTCCTCTCTGTCTCTTACACTGTCTATGTTTCTCTTCCTTTTTCTGTCCTACCCTACCAGTTTTTTATTCCTAAATAACACTTAAAACTTCGTCTGAGTTCATGCTTATTGAGGCAAAGTGTGATGTCTTACATCTGGGAAATGTCGTTGTGTGGAGGGGAAAATATTACTGTGGTTGGTTGTCTAAATACCTCATGTAGATTCACGTCTAATGTTTGTGGAGTGCAATCCTTTGGGTTGTGACCAATTCATTGGTTCAGTCTTTGTTTAAGCATTCCTCCTGAGTGCTGAAGATCATGCAGATGGCCAAATTCATTTTCCTTTCTATGTTCTCAAGACAAATTGAGCAGCTAGTCCACATGGGCCACTTGGGTTAAAGGGGAAACTCAGACTCTTCTATCCCATCTTTTCACAGTTATCCATCAATGTTAGGATGAGTCAAAGGCGCAGCTATATGTACAGTGGGTTCGTTTGACACCAACACAAAATCTTTTTCCACATTGACTCTCCTTGCTGTAGATTGAAAACTATTTCAATTCATTGCACGGGGTCTCTACGTCCTCCTTGAATAAGACAAGTGACTAAGGCCCGTCATCCCCGGCCTCTTGATCCTTATTGAACCTCAAGGAAAAAGGGATAAATATTTTTTGTGTTAGTCACACTAAGCATAATAGAATATCCTCCGAGAATGATTTTGAAACACCCAAAATATCTGTTTTCACCATTTTGTTACCATTAACTACTGTTTAATATTTCAAAACCCAGAGGTAACACAATAAATTTTCATTTGGCCTGCAAAAGCCTGTCCTGGAAATACTTGCTATCTGAATGTGTGAATCTTAATAGAATGTATGGTCTCTAAATATCATCCTTTATGTACCTTAATCCAGTGATTTACACTTTCATAACTTTCCAGTAATAGGAATGTACCACTTGCTGGTCTTCAAATAATGGTTAGCAACAGTTAAGTACCAGAATGCTGAATAGACTCTGTGTATGACATAATGCAATGAATTCATATTTCCTAAGCACAATGTGCTCAACTAAACCTTAGAGCAAACACATACAGTACAGAGCATTGCTGCTCTAACTATCCTTTTGGATTTCTATGGGCATATGCAGGCATAGCAAGCACCAGCATATGATTACCAAAAAATTGTTAACTGGATGTGTCCAGCATCCAGTACAACACATCTAAGAAATCCCTTTTAAAACTAGGATTCTGCAGCTTACTATAGGAAGATCTTTACTCAGAGGGTCTGTCTATCCTCTCAGTCGATATGCATTCCATTCGCTGTTTTTACCATGGAAAAATGCCCATTGAGAGTAGATACAAAATATGAATAATTTACCCACAAGCATCCTGATCCTATTCAGGCCTGCTTGGCATACTACTAGCCTTTGGGATGTTTTAGAGGCAGCCCTCCCTCAGGTGAATCCTATCTTGTGCCATTTAATATTTTCTAAGGGTTATTAACTCCTTTATACCAGCAGTTCTGCTCTTATACATTACAGATCAGCATAGGAGTTCCACCCAGATTGTGAGACGCAGTACTCAACCTCCACAAATATCTCCAAATTAATTTTATGCCTAAATGTCAAATGAAAATGAATTATTTCTAGATGACACTTGAGCAACTAGACTTCTCCAAAAACAGCAACCTGCATGGGCCTCGTGATGTTTCTCTGAGACCCTGCTATATCGAGGGAAAATAGATCTCCTTTGAAACCAAGAATATGCTTGGAAGCTCTAGTAATGTCCTGCAACCATGGCCTTTAGTGAAGAAGGGTTTGCTTCAGGTCCTGCAAACGCAACATATTACAGGGAATGCCACTGTAGACTTGATTTTATTATAATCTCGAGTTACCATGTGTTTGATCAGTGTAGCATTCCTTGAATAGCCTCCTTCTGAATTTGAATACGTCCTTTGAGTACAGAAACCACAGGTTAACATTAACAAGAGACTTGTGGAATTTGGCTCAAATCTTCCAAGAACTCTGAGATAGGGGTGTGCTTAGAAAGGAAGCTCCACCTAAGAACCATTGTGCTGTGTTCCTTCTGCTCACTATGAATGTCACTCCGGCAAAAATAGCCAATCAGAGCCTTCCGCCGACCTGCCACTCAGATGGGAGGGTTCTTCTGGTTTCCAGGCTCCCGCGCTCTCACGTGCAATTCAGAAGTTCGGCCAAATTCTGCTGCACTGTGGGATCCTTGTGCAGAGAGCATGGCTGAGCTCTGCAGCCAGGCCATGGTGAGATATGGGCAGCTGTCCTCGGAGAAGGAAAAGTGGCAGGCCATGGTGAGTGATGCGCCACTGTCCCCAGACTGGTGGAGCAGCTGGCTGAAATACCAGAACCCATGTGCTGGGTCCTCTCTTGTTTGGGTGGGAGCTAGTGGGCACTTGCTGAGTTTGGCATGTTTCTGCTTGGTTCTCCATGGTATCTATGTGGTCCTTTAATTCCCTGTGCTAAAACAGCAGTCTGAATAATTTATCCACGGAGAGCACTGGGAGTGGCATCGTGTTTAAGAAAAGCCCTTCTTATTGAGTTTACTGTGAAATGTTGGTGCCTGTAGTGCTTGTATTGTACTATTGAAAGACCCTCTGGATACCCCCCCCCCCAGAACCCGCAGCTGGCCTGCTCCCATGAGAACATCCTGTTTGCTTGAGACCCTCAGGACCCTCTCATGACCTGCAGCTAGCCGGCTCTCATGAGAACATCCCGTTTGCTTAGGGAAACAGGATGCCTATAGTCAGCACATGTGCCAAACTTAGAATATCAGCAGTTCACAAAAGAAACAATTCCCCCTATGAAAGATCCCAGCTTGACAAGGCTTTTGACGAACAAATGTAAGTGCAGAGTGAGGTCAGGGTCCCTGGCTGCAAAGCAGGATATCTATAAAATAGGACCATCTGTAAAGCAGGATATCTATGAGATATGACGTCTATACAACAGGATGTCAGTGGCCATACATCTGTGCTGGGAAAGGAAAAACCAAAAGAGGAACAGGATATCTGTTGCCATACATCTGTGCTGGGAAAGGAAAAACCACCTATGCCCCTTGTCTCATTCCAACCGACCACTAACCACGCATTTGCTTCTGTAATCTGCTTCTGCTGCCCTCTTTCCTATAAAAAGACCTCCCCCCAGTCTGCAGGCCAGCAAGTCCTCCTAAAGACTTTGCCGCCTGCAGGTACCTGTGTTTACTCAATAAACCTCTTGCTAATTGCATCCTGTGGTCTGGACTCGGAGTGTCCTGGTTCTGGGGACTTCATTGGAGGAAAGGTCCTCTCTGAGGGTCTTTCATTTGGTTCATTGGCCGGGAATTGAAGACCCCCACCCAGGAGCTACCAGCTCACCACTGGGAGGTAAGCTGGCCAGCACCGATTCGTTAGTCTTTGTGTTTGTCTGTGTCCGTTTCTACTAAACTTTGTAGATCTGAGTGCTCCGAATTTGGCGAGAAGGAAAGAGGCTGACGGGCCTGGACTTTCCCTCGCAGCCCTAGAAGATGTTCCAGGGAATTTGGTACCCGATTTTTCGGGGCTTGGCCAGTATCAGAAGGATACGTGGTTTTGATTGGAGGAGGGGAATCCGGACCCCCACTGCCTTCATTTGAAATTTTACCTTCAGCATTACGCTGAAACCGTGCCGGCGCATCTGTATTGTCTATGTATTTTTGTGCTTAATATGTTCTTTGTTTTGTATATCTGTTTGTACTCGAGTCTAAATCTGGTACCATGGGGCAGTAAGTAACCATCTCTTTGATCCTAACTCTGTGAAAATCCAAAAGGAACACTGACAGTCTGCCCCTCCTTCACTTCTCTAGGCTGTGCCTTGCTGAGGCTGTGCCGCTGAACTGCCCTGCTTGCTGTCGCGATAGGGGAGGGAGCAGGGCTGGTGATCTCCTGTGGCACAGCCTTGAGCCAGGCCTAGGCGGGGCAACCAGCTCCAGCTCTGAGCAAACTTCTCAGCAGGGCGCAGTCCAGCTGCGGCCGCCTTAGCTGTTACCATGGGCAAAAAGGCAGGTCCCCGGAGGATTCGCCTCGGGCTCCAGCTACAGTTGCCCAGGCGAGGAGCCTCTGCTTTGGGCGCCTATGCAGAGACGTTTGAACTCCTTAGCATCATCACAGGAGCCCAGGGAGCATAACTCTCCCCTCAGTGCCAGGTCCTGGGGTGACACTGAGCCTCTGCCACACCCCACTCCACAGGGGAGCTCACTAATGGGAGAGCCCTCTTAGCTGTGTCAAAACCAAAGGCTTTAGCTCCCTTAGACGCGCTGCTCGGGAATAGCCCAGCTAATGACTAGTTGGGCCGTGTAATCCTGCCCACCTCTGCTCACAATTAGCTCTCCCTGCTTCATCAGGTAGAGACTGGGGTCGGAACATCCACGAGAAGGGAATGCTTGCCCCCCTGAAATCCCTGTGCTGAAAGTGACGTCCTCCCTTGCTGACCTGAAGTCCACCAGCACCGCACATGAGGACTGGGGGAGGAGGGCTGCCTTAGACAGTCCAGGGTGTTCCCTCCCCCATAGCCAATGCAAAGGTCTTCCCAGCTGCTACTGGCAGTGTGAGGGCTAAAGAGGAGCCTCCATGGTGGCCGATGTGGCATCCCCGAGGAACTGAGTTGAGGCTTCCAGATGGCCGGCCAATCCTGACCTGAGGAGTTCCCTGGAGGGAATGCCTCCTGGGGCCTCTGGAATCCCATTCAGAGAAAAGCTGCTAGGTTGCTGTGAGTACTGAGGTGGGGATGGGGGAAGCTTGTGTTATACAGCTAGGAGCTCACTGTGGACAGAGCTGAGGCTGGAGCCAGGTCCTGGGAGGATCCCCAGTGGGGTTCCCTGTGGGGGAGGCTCGTTTTCCTTGGAAAATAAAGTGCTAGGGACTGAATGGCAGCCTCCCCTCTACAAATGCCATGTAAAGCCTTGTGCCAAAGATCTGTGGCTTCCTGGACCTTTTTATTTTGGCAGTAGGGCAAGAGATTGCAAGTAAATATCCCTGTGGCTGTTGGTAAATGGCGAATGTGGATTCAGAAATGGCAGGTAGTGGAGTAAGCTGACATTAAAAGGGCCTACCAGCCCTGATAGCATCTCTCTTCTGGGGATGCTCTGTTCCAGTCATCATGTGCTGCATCCAGGGTAAACGCCTCTGGTTTAAAAATTGGGAAAATTAAATTGAGTCACTTTAAAATAATGTACTTATAAAAAACTACAGATTGTTGGTTTCTATATTTCTTACTATGCAGTGTGTCCAGAGGAAAGTAAATTCCCAGCTCTGTTTAGATGGGTACAGGACTACACTGTCTTCAAGAACTATTGCTGTAAAAGCCCTGGCCCAGGGCCAGGGCCATATGAACAGCCCAGCTGAGCTTCTAAGCCAGCCCATTTTTAGATCTGAATTTAACACTTGTCTGCTCACAATGCTTGTGATAAGGTGGGGACCCTGAGTTGCCCCACATGGCAAAGATCTGCTAAAGCCTCTCACCCCACTACAATGGCAAAAGGGGTGTTACTGAATGATAAGGTTGAGTTAAAATGGCCCTTTTGACTCTTCATAATGTTTAAGGCTATTTAAAAAAAAAAAAACATGGCGAAGATTCTCATTTATTATTAATATAAAAAAGGTGCATTTTGGGTTGTTTTCAGATTCTGTCTATGATAATATAAAGGATGTCGCTAAGTTTTAAGGTAATATGTTATCTAATTCTGAAAATCCACCATGCTAATGTTCAAAGTAGCTGTAAGCTTAAATTGTCAAATGATATTTTTAATCTTGGTCAGTTTTACAGGAATAAGATAAAATCTCAGAATTGTTTAATTTGCATTTCCCTGATGATTAAGGATGTTATATTTAAGCAAATTTTAAATATCTTTCAGTCGTTTCAAGTTCATTTGTTGAGAATTTACAGTTTTGGTCTGTGACGTAATTGTACTAAAATATTTGTTTTTATGAGGATTAAGTTCCTAAGTTCCTTATATGTTTCATGATGCCTCCCCATTCTACAGGCTGATATTATGTTCCGTTGATTATATCCTTTGCTATACAAAAAGCGTCTCAGTCTAAAAATCTTATTTATTGATTGTTTCTCTCAATGTCTATGCCACTGAGGCTGTGTTTAAAAATGAATTTTAAACTTTTTTTCCCTTCTATAAAGTTCAATATTGTTGGTTTTATGTTAAGGCCTTTGATTTGTTTGGATTTCAGTTTTGTGCATAGAGATAAATATGGATCTATCTTCATTCTTCTACATGATAATGTCTAATTAATTCTTAAAGGGAGAAACTGACAGTCAAAATGCTGGGCTCATGGCAAACCTCGGGGGGGGGGGGGGGCTGCAAGGCACCCCACTAATTCGGCCAAGGTAAGAGAGGTTCTCCAGGGGCCAGTTAAAATCTGTGTTCCTTAAATGATTAATAAAAGTTTACAGGCATTTTACCCAACCTCTGAAGGTCAGCAGACAGCAGTAGCCATGGCCTACATAGGACAGACAACATCAGATATAAGAAAAAAGTTACAGCAAGTAGATAGGTCACAAGATTATACCTAATAAAATTTAAAGAGACAGAAAAAAAATGTTAAAAACGAGGGAGAGAAAAAGGGAAGCGAAAGAGAGAGAGGCGGGAAGCAAAAGAAAGACAGGACTCACAGATAAGGAGCCTGGGAAACAGAAGATCAAAGACAAATGAAGAGGGTCACAAGAACTGAGTACTCTATGTTAAAACAACCATTGAAAAAAATTAAAAATATAAACTGGACACCTTACGAACTACAAATAAATGACTCGTTCCTCCCTGGTCACTTCTGAATGTATGATCAAAGCCTTTTGTTGCCCAAACAGAGGGACTTTTGCTTTCACTGCTGTTCTCAGTGCTGCAGGAGACGCAGGCTGCTTGTCTGCCTCTACCACGCCCTCCTCACCAGGATGACCACCTCCCCCTGCCATCACCGCTGAAGAAATCCTCACCTCCTAGCAACTGCCTTGGTGCTGTGCTTGCTCTAAAGCCTGCATGAACCCTGACTGCTCACTCTACAGTCTCGCTCCCCTCACCCATGTCAGACTACGATACAGCAATCACAATGCTACCACAGGTGCCCTCCTGTGCCAGACTACTGCTCCTGTGCTGGGCTGACGTCGATGGACTATGGATCCTACCAGCATCTGCATAAAGGACAGGCGGCTGGCAAAATGGCAGCCTAAGCTGTGCCAGGCAGAGCCGAAAATGAGGGCGAAGCTTGCCAGGGGCACAAGGCTGGCGGTCCGAGCTGAGCAGGTACACAAGACTGAAGGTAACCGGAAGGCGGGG